GGGGATGAGTGTGTATCAGTGTATGTGTGTGTGTGTCCAGAGTTCAGCTGAGACGGTGTCCTTCGCCCTGCCAGGCTAAGTAAACAGTCTTCCAGCCAGCCAGCCAGGTGGCCTTGCATAGGGGAGGAACAGTCTAAGCACCGTCTGTTATCAGGGTGTTTTTGTTCAGCTCCAGCCTTGAGATCACAGCTGGTGCCGAAGTGGTAGCTGCATGAAGTGATGGTGGTTTTTACTTTAGTGCGAACAACTCATGTGAATTTCAAAGCTGTTCTAACAGTCCGACACTGGTCTCTCAATCTCCCGTTGGAGAGCCGTGAGCTTCTCCATGATGTTATCAAACTTACGCTCCGTGATGTTGTCATTCTGGGTGACTGTAGCTCAGGAGGTAGAGCAGGTCACTTACTGATCGGAAGGTTGGAGGTTCGATCCCAAGCTCCTCCAGTCTGCATCCAAGTGTCCTTGGGCAAGATACTAACCCCAAGTTGCTTTCCGATGCATCCATCGGAGTATGAATGTGTGTGAGTGTAGTTAGAAAGCACTCAGTATAGAGGTAGTGCTTGTGAGAATGGGTGTGACTGGGTGAATGTGGCGTGTTGTATATGCTTTAAGTACTCCGGGAGAGTAGAAAAGCGCTATATAAGAATCAGTCCATTCTTGTGCTCAAAGAGCCGATTCTGAGAACTCACGACTGCAGTGAGCTTCTCCAAGGTGTAATCAAATTTTCGCTCAGAGGTCTTATTCTCAGTGTGCTCCAAGATCTTATCCGTGTTGCGTTCAATGAGCCCATTTTGAGAACTCACCACTCATCCCATCGATTCAATCCCAGCGGGCAGCCTTGTGGGGTTTTGAACAGCCGATTCCGCTTTCTTTATCTTCAATAAGCCAGGGCCAAGCCAGGGCCAAGCCAGCTCCGATCAACAAGAACCCTGTTATCATGGTTCCAAATAGGTAGATATCTTCAGCGTCTTCGATCGACAGTCCCGCCAGGCACACAACCCTCCAGTTCTGCCACCCGTCCATCGTGTATCCGGCAGGGAAAGTACCTCCAGGACACTCAGGCTCACCCGAGCCCAGACTTCTTGTTGAGAAAAGGGTGTCAATTGCATTCAGGGACCAGTTGATCAAATCCATAATTCCTCTTTAGGTTTTAGAGAACAGACTGTGAGAGAGTGTTCCAGGGAAAAGTAATACAAAAAACACGAGACTAGACAAGGACACAAGAGGCTAAGCAGGGAAGATAAGGGAGAGGAGGAGAAAAGTGCGACCGCCTTCGCCAATTCAGACGCCACCAACCTTCCAGTTAGTAGATGACCTGTTGTCCCACATCTACCACACTGGGCTGGCTGTCACTTCCAGTTAGTAGCACAGGTCAACTTCTAATTGGAAGGTTGGTAGTTCGATCACCATCCTCTAACTGAAGCATCAGAGAGCAACTTGGAATTAGTATCTAATCTAATTAGGCAAGCTGAAGAGGGTGGTGATCGAACTACCAACCTTCCAGTTAGTAGATGACCTGTGCTACTAACTGGAAGTGACAGCCAGCCCAGTGTGGTAGAACAGTCCCCACCAACAATAACTGCTTCCTGAGAGTGGCTGTTTTCAGGTCATCAAGCCACTGATGTAATGACACTGAGTATTCAGGACCACCTGTGTGTCTGTGTGAAGGGGAGTGAAACAGTAATGATGGCTGAGAATATCCATGGAAGACAAAAGGCTGCATTTAACTGCAAAACACAAGTTTGGCTTTCCAAGTAACTTAAGGGTTAACCCAGGGTTTTCTGTACTACTAAGGTGGTTTACTCCTTAACAGGGTAAGTCGTCATGGTAACTTGTGCTGTGAACCTATCTAGCTCTGAAGCAGGTTAAAATCCAGATCAACAATCAGTTCTCCAGAAAGTAGCATCACCTGTCCTGGAAAATCTGCCCGACCTCTGTACACACACAGTAGGAGGGTTTATTGTTTTTTAATGGAGGTGTCTTTGTTTCCCTAATGAACGTCTGTAATAAATAATGTCGATGTTTAGACACAACTTCATTCTGCGATACCACGCCCAACATGTTGGCAGAACCTTCACTGTATATCAAAGTCATACATACATTATGTTTGAATTCTATTTTTATATTTAATGTTTGCTCTCAAATCCAGCACTGAGTGTGCAGCTGAGAGAATAAAAGCTGAAACCGTCAGAAGCAGGTTTCAGTTTAAAATCGGCTGGAAGTGCCACATTTACAGTTTGTTTTAAGCGTATTATAGAGTTACTGCTGGTTGAATGTGTTTTATATGTGCAGCTTGTTAAACTGTGCTTTGCTAAAAAACACTGAATGAATCACAAACTGTCACAAGAACACAGGACACATGTTACGATTACCTGTTCATTAGTTTAAAGCTTTCCAGTAAGCTTTAAACTGGATCCATTTAAAGATTAAAGTTGCAGAGCTCTAATGTTTAACCATCAGCTTAGGAATCAGCAGTAAGAGTGCACTCAATGTTAAAATGATCAACTGGATTTAAAATGATACCATTCTGTGTGCTGAATCACCACGTTAACAATGAATGATCGTGTCTTTTTTTACAACAGTGTTTCATTTTATTGACATGTTTTCTATGTTTCTTATAGATTTTAACACATTTCTAGTAAAGCTGTCACATGGATCATTTTCTGTGATCCATAAAGGCTGGTAATGTAAATGTGCATTTGAAGTGTTTTAAGTAGCAGGTCATTTCAAATGCAACATTTCTGTCAGCTGAACAAACATCAGCAAACACACAAACTGTGTGTGTGTGCAGTCTGTGACAGTGTGTTGCTAACTAAAGGTCCAGCTGCTGGATTCCCAGGGAGAGAAAAGAGTGTAACTTTAGTCAGAGATGGAGGAAGACAGATGAACAGGTTATAGTTAAAGGTAAGAGCTGCAGATTTAAAGGTTACATGTAATGTCCTCATTTTTATTCCCATAGTAGATCTGTATATAATGTGTTTTGATAAGTTGTATATTTTCACATTGTGAAACTCCCTGCAAAACGAGCTAAGTATAGTAACTTTGTGTTATTCAAATGCTGATGTTGCATGGTAGTTTTGTGCAGGTTAAACAGGTTAGCTTGCTCACAGTCAGTGTTGGGTTACATTAAATGTAGCAAAGATTAATGTGGACTGGAGCTGCTGTCGCTTAGATTCATTCACTGAATTTCTACCAACTGTATAAAGACAGTGTACTGTTAGAGTACGATAAGTCAGCCAAGATGGCTCAGGAAACATCTGCTTACATTTAGTTGAATTCAGTTGTGTAAATCCACAAAGAGCAGCAGGTCAGCTGACCTGTTCACTAATAATCACAACTGATGTAGAGTTACTGAATCCCACCTTAAACCCCGACTGTAAACGTTTTTCTGTTTAGATGTGGAGGCAAAGTCGCCCTCTACAATATAGGCAACAGTTTGGAATGATGTTTGGAAACTGTCTTTCACTGCCTGTGTCCTGCATCACTCGTTTAAGCTTAGTGCATTCATTAGAATTAGAAAGTAGATTTGTATTCTCCCGTTGTAGTCTAATGTAAAACTAGGTGTAGTTACCGTTGGTAGAATTGTCCTTCATGGAGCTACTCTTTACTTCCTTACTTTCAGTACATTTCACTTGTTTACTTATGCTCGAGTAAAATTGATTTAATACTTCAACTTTTACTGCAGTATTTTTTTTAATTCAGGTATTTGCACTTCAGCCTATTTCAATAATGTCTGTACTTCTGATACTTTGTGCCTTCATAAATTAGACAGCAAAGCTTTGACAATCTCTCTGAGATTGCAACCAATCTGTCAAAGTGAGGCTATGACTATTTGCTGAAAGGTTACCTCCTGTCAGGGGATATTTGCTGTCTTTAAAAAATAATAATAAAATATCAATATTTGGGTTCCCCGTATTAATACAATATGCCTGCGAAAAATTTGGTGATGCTATGCTGTATCAATTTTTTCCTCCACCCCTTTTGAGCTTAGTGATGCAAGGCTTGGATGCAGTTGCTCAGCTGTGGAAAACTGCTCCATGAGCTCCTCTCCACCCTTTTCTTGATCTAATCTGAAGACCACCTGAAGTTTGGAGCTGACTGTGATTTTATGTGGCCTACCACTCCATGTCTGGGTTGCTGTTATTTCCAAGTACCACTAACTAGATCATTGAAAAGATCATTGGAGCCTCTGTTCCCTCCATCACAGACACTTATCGCACCCACTGCATCTGCAACGCCACCAGCATCGTGGACGACCCCACACACCCCTCACACACCCCTCACACACACTCATCCTGCTGCCTTCTGGCAAGAGATACCGCGGCATTCGGCCCTCACTGCCAGACTGCCAAACAGTTTCTTCCCTCACACTCCAGAACACTCAGTGACTGGACCGACACGCTGACACACACCTTCTTACACCAAGTGACTTTTTGCACAACACTCAGTCTTTTGTGCATTTCTATTGCAATGTTGTGTCTGTATCATTCTGTTGTGTCTTTGTTGTAGACCATGTAGCACCATGGTCTTGGAGGAATGCTGTCTCGTCTCACTGTGTACTGCACCACTACACGTGGTTGGAATGACAATAAAGCCACTTGACTAACAGCTGACTGCAGAACATTTAGTAGTCAGGATTTTTACTCGTGAACTCGAGGCTGGTCACGAACATGATCCTGACGGACATCAGACCGGTCGACTTTGGCCACACAACAAAGGCAGCAGTGAAATTGTAAGAAGTGAAGCTGAACACCAAACAGGTGTTAACAGCATGGAAATCCCAACCCTCTATGCAGATTAGGGTTGTCACTATCTGATTATTACACAACAACAGTCGATCATAGTGATTTCTTTGATGCCTGACTTCAGCAGTGTCCTGTTCTGATTCCGCTCTCTTTGTGCTTCCCTTTTCTTGCAAAGAGATTTCCAATAGATTGTTTTACTGTTCTCTGTAAGGACTGCATGTGAGCTGTGAACTCACCGTTGTCGCTCTGTTGCTGCAGGCTGCCTGGAAATTGCCGAGGAGTTCCGCTCTCAGGAGATCGACGGGCAGGCCCTGCTGCTGCTGAAGGAGGACCACCTAATGGGAACCATGAACATCAAACTGGGGCCTGCACTCAAGATCTTTGCTCAGATCAGCATGCTCAAAGACTCATAGTTCATCTCATCCAATACATACACAGCTCTCAATGGCAGCTCAGCTATTACTGCACTAACAGGACGTGCTCAGGATTCCCCATGTTAAATAGTTCTCGGCTGAATTCAGGTCCCAAGACAATTTTTATTGATGGATATTTTGTAACTGTCTCCCGACCTAATGGCCGTCAGCTCCAACATTTACACTGAAAACTTCACTGTGCCCTGTGGTTGGGAGGGCTGCTGTGTTAGCTAGGCAGTGTAGAAAAAAGTTTGATTACGAATACATTTAGTTTTTTATAGTGTTTATTGTACCTTAAGTTTAGCATTTCATTTGTTCTGGAGGGTGACTGTGAAGATTTCAAACGTGTGCCTACTGTTTCAGTAAAATACACTTTATTCAAGCCTCTGCGTCCTGCATGGAGTCAGTTATTCCTGAATGCCTGTGATCCGGCTTTAGGACTGTCTCATCAAACTCTGCGTGGTTCTGTGTCTGGTTTGCACAGTATTTGAGCTATGGGAAAATTAAAAAAAAAATCACAAGGAAGATAACTATTCATTTATCCAGCTTAAATACAGGGCTCTGATTAATTGTGTTAAAGTTAGACATTAGACAGTTAACAAAGTAACTAAGCTTTGTCCAGACTCTGCACTCTATGGAAGGTATGGTTTTGTTTGTTTAGTAATCTTTGACTGAAACGGAGGTAAAGATGCAGAACAGCCCAGCTCAGAGCCAAGATGCAGCTGGGAATATGTAAGAGTATACTCTGTCAGAGCATGTCATTGCTTCATACACAATAACATTTAAAGGTTTTCAGAAAGGTGAACTATGAAGCAAGTTCAGGATAGCCAGGTATTCTTATTTAGATGGCCCAAATATTCGAGCAGCTACCACAGCAGTGGCTTCACTCATTTAAAATGGGGCTATTTGCCTGAACATTTGTTAAACACAGACTGGTGCTTTCTGATACTCTCCAAAATTCTAGGAGGCCTGGAAATTGCCTGGAAGTGTGCAGAAACAACAACAATCCAATACACTTTCTGCAAAAAACAGAAATAAGAAACCCTCAAGAGGCTCTTCAGCGATGGTACTTAGACTTTTTTTGTTGTGCTTTTATTGCACTGAAGCCGTCGTAATGTTTTCTTGGTATTGATACACAGAACTACTACTAAAACTGGTCTGTGGAGGTTCATCTCCAGGACAAAACAGAAACTAAACAACATTGTGTATGCTGTGCAGAGCAGTGAGGAGTGCTCAGTCCATTACATTGGAGAACCTAAACCATAAACACATGGCACAACATAGAAGAGCCATATTGACAGCACACGACTCAGCCGCACATCTGCACCCTAGGATAAAGGTCACTCTTCGAGGATGCTGATGTTCACATTCTGGACAGAAAAGACATGGTTTGATAGAGGAGTGAAAGAGGAGGCCAATTATGCATACTGTCATCTTTGAACATGAGCTTACGACTCATGGCTCAGAGAAGGTTGGGGACCACTGCCTTAGATGATTCTAGAATGTACTGCATATGTGTCAGCCTTTTAATTACTTAAAAGCTGCCTTATGAAGGTGACATGCTTCATTGTTATATGACAACATTCGTCTAAATCAGTTGGAAGACCTACACTTTTCCATGTTTATGGAATAGTGTTTGTCTGCTTCCACTCTGCCAGACTAAAGATTTCATTGGTGGTGGATGCACAGACAATATCAACTGGTCACAGGATGCCTTCATCAGATGAGCAGCTTGTTTGTTTGTTGGATCAAAAACAAAAACAGGAACAATCAGTCTGCAGAAACATGATGATTACTTTTGCAAGAATTTGAATTTACAAACACACAGACTCAGGTTGAGGCTGACAGCAGGAGCACCTGTAAAGTTGATGGTGTCCGTTGATTCAGTCACATTTCAGTTCACCACTTGCATTCATTGTTTCTTTACAATGTGCTTCTTGTGTCCTCTGTCCTCTGATCGTCTGCATGTGACCTCAGGCAAACCAAGGATGTGTCAAAAATTAAAATACAGCTGTGGTGGGCTGCATCAAAACAATTCATGATTTAGTTATAAAATTATGTCATTAATATTGTTTATAAAGGTTTACAGATTGGATTCAAGTTTCCGCCCTTCCTGGGACACTGAAGGACATTCAACGAGTGGTCCTGATTCAGTCCCTTTCTGTGTCCCTACTGTCATTGTCCTGTTGGGAGATGAACCTTTGCACCAGTTGGAGGTCCAGATTGCTCTGGAGCAGGTTATTAATAAGCATGCACTGTACACGTTCATCTTTCCTTTGACCATTACTAGTCTCTCAGTTTCCAGTCTCTCCCCAAAGCCATCCCCACAACATGATGCTGCCACCGCATCACTGTGGGGATGGTACTGACCAGGTGATGAGCTGTGCCTGGTTCATCCAGACATCATGATTGGTATTCAAGCCAAACAGGTGAACCTTTGTTTCATCAAACTAAAGAATTTTATTTCTCATGTCATGCATCATTTACTGAGGAGTGGCTTCGTTTGGCAGCTCTACCATACAGGGCTGATTGTTGCAGTGCTTCAGAAATGGATGTCTTGGAAGATGCTCCTCACTCCACAAAGCAGCACTGAAGCTCTGTTGAAGTGACCATCGGGTTCTTGGTCACCTCACTAACTACAGCCTCTCTACCCTGATTGCTCAGATTTGCCAGGCAGGAAGAGAACTGGAGGCCACTGTGCTCACTGGGACAGACAATTCCTTGTAACTGGACACAAAGGAATATATTCTAGCATCCACAGAACTTTCTTTTGTGGTCTTCCAGATCTTTTGGTGTTAGACCTGTTATGGGCTCCTGACGTGTCTCTTGCCCAGGGACAGTTGGAATAGGCTCCAGATTAAGTTTCACACTTTTTTTTTTCTCGATAAAACTTAGAGATGGGGTTGGATCAGGTGACCCTGAAGCTGATATAGGCTGCTTGGAAACCAGCCAAACCAGTTTATTCCTAATGTTGGTCCCGAGCCCAGGTAAATCAGGAGGGTTGCATTGGGAAGTGTAAAACCTTTGCCAAATTAGACATGTAGATAATCCTGGGTTAACAACGCTGCCAAATCGTTGTTCAGTAAATTATGTGCAGTTTGTTCACCTATTAGTTCTGTTTCATTCAGCCGACACTGGGTCCGATGGGTCCCAGATGAAAGAAGAGAGAAAAAATGAACACATTTCAATATTTTCTCACAATAATTCGTGATTTATTCTCCCCAGTGTAAGACAAAAAATCATTTGCTTTAAATTTACACGATCAGAAATCACCCTAGCTTCTTTCTTCATTATAAGGCACACACAACAGAAACTAAAAGCTTCACATCCTCTCGGCTACAACGTGTTCATGAACGTACACTCACGTAAGAACCTCAGTTGAAAAATACAAAACATTTTTTGCAACTTGTTAAAAGTAGTAGAAATGTGCACACACATAAACTGAGTTTGCATTGTTTTTAAAACCCTTTATTTGATACAAGTATTTTTGCAAATTCTGAAATCAATTCTAACCTTCGATTTATTTATTTTATTAAAGTTGTTATAAATAGTTGCAAATTGTTTTTGAAGTGCTTCAGTAAAGATAGAAAACAGCAGAGCTACAAGTTACTAATGATGTTGTCATGGCCTCTGACACTGAGCTCTGTGCAGACACTAGAATAAACTGTTGGCATTAAAATAGTTGTGCTGGTCTAATCTCATCTGTCTGATACATCATTTATCTGAATGATGATTTTTCCTCATGCACGAGTTCTGCAGGATTGTGTGTTGGGACCAGTACTTTCCATATTCTGCATGCTTCCCTTAGAAATTATTATAATGAAAGTGTTATTATTAAATTATTAGAAACATGTACATTGCACATGATACCTAACAGCTTTTCTGATGAATAAAATGTCTACCATCATCTCCATTTGAACTTAAAAATGTCTGTTCGACACCTTTTCAATAGAATGTCTTCTGTCTCATTACTGACAAACAAAACCTAAAGTGCCAGAATTATTTGAAAAATGCAGGAATCATGTAAACTCAGGTAAACTGACTCAGCTGTAGCTTAAATCTTATCATTTACTTTTAAGAAGCTGGTACCAGAGGTTTGGTCAAACAGCCACAACTCAAAAGCCAGCGGATCACTGGATCATGCTTTGGGTTTATGAGCTCTATTTTCTGGGTTACCTGGTTGAACAGTCCCATTTCAAAAAATAAACTAAATTCCATTTTAACCAGTTTGTTTTACAGGAGCGCTCTGCAGCAGATGACGGCTGTGACTTACAGGTCAGCACATCCATGTTAATATCCCCCCCCCAAAGCTCAAGCAGAACCAAATGTGTGTGCATCACACTGCTGCAGCATTCACTCAGTGTCCAAGGAGTCATGGCAGTTATCCTCATGTTTGCTGGTCACCTGGTGAAGTCAGAGGGAAAGGTTAAAACAGCTGGCTACCCCAACCCAACAACTCCACCCAGGAGAAAAACAGACATGCTGAGAGTGACAGGACCCCGACCAAAGCATAGGAACATATCACAGAGCAGCAGGGAAAAAAAGAGTCAGAGACAAATCCACATATTTCTCATCATTTAATTAAGTGATTTGATATAAAACATCATTAAAACGCAGGGGGAAAAGGAACAGCAGAAAGAGACCTGGCAAAGAAAGCACACGGTTCATGCTGATCTGAGAAACGTTTAACCTGCCTCTCTTGCAAATGTCCAAAAGTCCAAATGTCCAATTTTGGTATTTTATGCTTCCAAATTGATGTGTGTTTGTTTGTTGTGCTGAAAACGTGAAGAAACGAGGAAGAAAGAAATGAGCAAACACCATCAGACAGCAAAGAAAGCTCTCCTGAAATACCGATAACACCTGACTGCAGAGCTAACACGTTAGCCTTTCATTTGTCTCCACTTAGGTTTGTCTACAAACCAATAAATAAAATGAGAGAATCTACATATTCCAGATCGATATGATACCGATTTGCAGATTTCACAGTTTAACATTTCCTTTCATTATCGGAGCGGTGCTAACGCTGGCTCGTGTTTTCTGTGACTGCCTGTTATTTGTTGTGTATTGTTAATGAACAGAGCGTTTCTGGGCCGATGGTTTAGTCCAAAATGAACCGATGAACTTGTTTCAGTCAAACATTATACTGGGAGCATAAAACTGCTTTTCAAAATGAAAGCACTAACCTGTGGAGTACCTGTCACTGGTTTAAAAATCCTCAATGTTTGACACATATACCCAATAATTACTTTACATGAGCAATGCACTCTGGGTAAATGATGTAAACTGATGGCACTTCAGAGCAGTCTTTGTCAACTGCCACTTAACAGGTTACACAAAGTATAAAACATGGCACAGTGTGCTACTTTTGGCTTTGATTTCAAGCTGAAAGGAATCAGGGGAAGTGACACTGGTCTCTTTCTTATTAGAAAGGATTGTGGAAGAAGACAATACCCACAACACTTACTGTGGTGTTCTTGGTACGAATCACCTAAAAGAGCAGACAAATGGCAGATAGAGTCCAAACACCCTTGAATAGTCTGAGAAACATGAAAAATAAGAAATGCTTTCCTGCTGGGTGGTAAACCAATCACGGCCGCAGTTCCTGTTCCTGAAAGCAAACTGGTACTCATCACGACCCTGATCACAGAGGCAGCAATAACTGCAGAGGTTTAGCCAAGTTCAATCAGCTGGTGTATAACCACTCTATGACCACTCTTCCTCTCAGCAGGGCAGCAGTGGCTGCACTGACATTCTCGCCTTGCTTTAATGTCAGATATGTCTTCCAGCTCAGTTTGAACCATCTGTTGAATTACCCAGACTGCAATGCAACTTAAATAACAATGGCGGCTTGTTATTATTATATCAGGTCTTAATGTTAGTATAACAGGCTGTGCACACATTCAGTCAAGGTGCCTTTTAAATGTGAATTCATGTGGGAGGCTGTTTGATTATTGCTGCTCCACATTTAAAACACATGATGTCCTGTCTAATGGACAACTCTCCAAGAGGACTGTTCAGTGTCATAGAACAATGAAACCATCATTTTCATTTCATTCAGAGATCGTTCATCACTACAGGAATGTGGGTAATAAACATGGCATGTTAAGCCTATTTTTAAAAGAAGGGATTATTTGGAAAAGGAGCTCCGAATTTTTGACATTGAAAAGTTGAGAAAGAATTGAGAAAACTGAGATCACATGGTTTCAATTTCAAACATTAAACCAATTTTACTAAATCCAGGTTGGATCAGCAAAATCACAGCACAGATATCTGTTTGTACATTTATTCATTTTTCCTATTCTTTTTCATTTCCCGACTTTTTGTTACTGTTTAACCTGACAGCAACCATAAAACTCATTATTGTAGGCGATTAAGACACCAGCTTGGATTGATGGGTAAGCTAGCAGGAGAAAAATAATGAAACAGTAGCCCCTTGTGCTCAAAATTTCACCATTGTAATCAACAATGTTTTACATTCCACAACGAACATGAAGTGCAAACAGATGTGCTAAGAGGACTGCAGACTAAATGATTTACTGCAACTCTGTAAGGACGCTACTCTTTGTTGCTACTCTGCTTTTAACTGAGATCTGACTGCCTTCAGCCTCTTAGAGTAAACATGTGCAGTGAAAATCTTTATCAAGTCATTCAACATGAAACAAAAACTGTAGAAAGAGCTGGAAAGGAGAGGTGTGTAATGTCATTATGCCAAAACGATCCATGTGAGTTTAGAAAACAGTTCATTGACAGAAAAGGTTAAAGTCAAAACTGAGAACCCATCCCACAGAGAGAGCACTGAGCCAGCGACACACACACACACACACACACACACACACACACTCGAGCAGAGAACATCAGGGTTCAGTTCTGCTTCATCTCTGCTGTTTATACCTTGCTCCTGAAGAGAGGCTTAGCTCCGGGTCCACAGTACTCGTTGTATATGAGCTTGAACAGGAAAAGGTGGAAGAGAGTTATGAGCGAGGCCACGCTGAACCAGAAGAGGAAGGGCAGGCCTGGGTACCTGTTGGCCATGTGTTCCTCGTGAGCGAGGATGGCCTTGAGGTGCAGAGTGTGGCGGAGGTCCTGCAGATGCCGCAAGTCTGTGGAGATGTAGAGCAGCGGCGTGATGGGCTGCGTCACCATGACGGGGAAGGTGTGGCCTTTGATCTCTGAGGTTAACTCCACGGGCTCGTTGAGGCAGCCGGCCTCACAGGCATACAGCTTCACCGGCTTTTCCTGCGGCTTTACCGACACGTGGAGAAAAGGCTTTCCGTCCACATCCAACAGCACCGCCAAGTTGATGAGGTCCTGGTTGTAGTGAATGCCTCTCAATGCGTAGCTGTTGTGCAGCACGTCTGGGTCGGTCTGGAACTGAAGATGGTTCTCTGTGAACTGAAGGCCACCAAAGCTGAGCACCATGCCCTGCATGACTCCATGGGCCCCAGCAGCTACCAACACCTTGCAGCCTCTTTTGTGCAAAGTCAGAGTCCACAGCGTGACCAGCTGCAGGATCTGAGCAGTGCTGCTTACTCTCTCAGGCCACAGGTTTTCTGCATGCATGGTAGCGTGGCCGCTGAAGCAGTGGTCAGCGTAGTTGAGACTGGATTCGAGACTGGCGCGCTCCTCGCCATTTAGCCTTTGGTCCAGAAGCGGAGCCGCGGAGGAGGACAAGATGTAGTAGAGGGTGGTGTTCACAGTGCGGCTCGATGGCGTGTGGGAGTCGATGATCTTCCTCATTTCAATACCTGAATGGAAACAAAAAGCAGAGTTATAGCTTCACATGACTCCCTGGGCCCCTTCTGAATAACACAGCAGGTGAAAGTAGCTATTGAAAATACATTTAACTGTACACAGAGAGACACTATTGGCTGACAGGAAGCTTTAATAAATTAAAGACAGGGTCACTCACATCCTATTCCAGTGGTAGCTGCTGATTCAGTTCATTTGTTAGTCTTGCTACTTCTGTGTTATTTTTGGTATTTTTGTAGATTCAACTAAAGAAATGGGAACAAATGTTGTGTTTTTGTGACTGCCAATAAAAAACTACAGACACTAAACTGGGTCTTTTATAGGCAGGCACAATAGTTACTAACTTAAAAAAAAGCTTCACCTTTGGACGACTTGCAAATCACTGCACTGTTTTTATTTAGCTTTAAAGGAGGTTTGCTTACTCTCACGCTTGCATTATGGCTGTACAGTGACACCATCTGTGATCCCTTTTGGTGCAGCCAGCTACTGCTACTCCTCACCTGAAATGAAGAGCTCCCTCCAGGCTTCCTGGTGGTGTTTGACCAGGTCATCCTCACTGGTCCTCAGCAACTCTTCCAGCTCCTTTTTCGCTCCGTCTTTGAGGGCGCTGAAGGTCTCCTCCAGCATTGAGGACTCGATGGACTCTGAGGTCCACACCACACTCACAATGTTGTCTACGTGCTCTGACTTAGCCAAAACATGGATCCTGCTGCTTAGCTTTTTGGTGACCACCACGACCAGAACCATCCTATTTTTTTCCACCGGCACCCTGCCAGAGGAGAGGACTACCTCTCTGTCCTCCAGTTTCTCCACACTGGTGGAGAACTTGCTACCGAAAGAGGGATTTCCAGACGATAAGTCCAGGTTAAGCGCCCTATCGGAGGGATTGTTGATATGGATTCGCTGCAGAAATACGTTAGGTCTGCTTCTATGAGCAATAAACTCCTCTCTAATAGTGACACAGTCTCGGGTTGACTGCAGGGTGGCTGGTGAGGCGCAGCGGACTGACAGGACCGATCCCTTCCGGAACCACAGCATGTTAGCCTCAGCCTCGGCCAGCGCCCCATCCAGGCTGACGGTGACTCTGGGAGAGTACTCAGTCTGGTGTACCGGAGCCGAGCCAGGCTGTGAGGATGAGGCTACCCAAAGTTTGTTAGACTCAATATCAATCAGAATATGGCCGTTTCCAGTTACAAAAGGCGTGTCTAGCCGTTCCTGAGGTGTGCTGTATATGCCTTCTCCTCGGTCTACCAGAGACCTCCACCTGTAGATCTCAGTCAAGAGACACTGGCCGGCCGCCCCTCCGGGCATGGCCGAGCCACCGAATAACCTCCATCTTCGCTCGGCTCCCAGGTACCAATAGAAAATGAGGAAGAGCAACAGTCCTATAAGGAGTCTTCTCGCCCAGCTGCTTGATAACAAGCCTGGTAGCCCCTTCAGTCGTTGCTGTAGCCACATTTTACGATCAAAACCCGGCTGTGAGTCTGCTAAGGACAGCACCCAGAGGGCTCGGGGTGAACACGCGAGGATGTCTCACATGGAATTTCGCTCGTACTTTCTCCAGGAACGAAAGCTCACAAACAGGATTCAGGCTAAATGAGCTCGTTAGCTAGCACTGTGGACAAAAGCTGCACAAAATGTGCGGACGCTTCTCGCATTGTAAGCTTCTCTCGTATCCTTAGAAGTGAGACATCAAGATCTCCGTTTGACTTCAACTAGAAAAAAAGCGAATAAATAATTAAAACAATTCTCTCCAGAAACAACTTTGCCATAGGCTGACACTTCTGGTTTGTCAAAAATGTCGTAAAGCAAATCGGCAAAAAAAAAAAAAAAAAGATCGGCAAACATAACAACCGGAACTGTCGCAAAAACCAGTAACTTTACGACAAACAGCGCTGGACAGGAAAACCCTGCGGAACTGATCATTCAACATCTCCGTCCAGAGCAAAGTGGAGTTACTGGTGCTTTATGCCTGCTGATGTTTGGGTACAACATGAATAACGACAGCTGCAGTCAGAGGAGAGGAGATCAGCGTTTACTTTCCATAACAGCGACTGTCTGAACTGACAGAGAGAACATGTCAGGTGGTCTTCAGTAAACTCGACTAAGGAACACGAGAGTCTTCATTTTTATAAACATCATAAAATTATGATATTTCATACCTCAGCAATAATCATTTGCCCAAAACATAAAATGAAAATAGGGGAGATGGACTAGGTTGATGAACAGAATGTTTGAGATAGAAATTAAACTGATGGAATAATTCATATTGGTCTGTTGTCATTTTTAGAAAAAAAAGTTGAATTTTTGGACAAAAATGTCATCTTTTTAGAAACTGTTTTGGTGACCTGTGTGTGTGTGTGTGTGTGTGTGTGTGTGTGTGTGTGTGTGTGTGTGTGTGTG